TTTGTTGTTCGATGCAATTCTGTCTACATTCATCTCGTGAGATACAATGGCTGTTGGTACTGTTATCTTTACGAACATAATTAGGCTTGCAGAAACAGCCTGCAACACATTGTTTTGTGCAGGCTTCGGGCTTATAATTACATGTTTCAGGACAAGCTGTACCACAAGTTGTAAATTGTTCATTTTGGCATTGACAACATTCTTCTGGCTTGACACATGTACCATTTTCTGCACGATATAAGCCTTGTTGGCAAAAGCAACCAGCAACACATTGTTCAGTGCAGAATTTGGATTCTTGTGGATAAAACAGATCTTTACAACTTGGTGGACATGATGAACCACAATCTTTATATACTTCGTTTTCACCACAATCCGACAATTCTTTATTATTGGCACATTGCCGCTTTAGAATACAAGGACTGCCAGTTGCATTAGACTTTCGAACATGTCTATGTTTGCAAAAGCAACCAAATTTACAATCTCTAGTGCAAATTTGTGGTTTATAATCACAGGTTTCAATACAAGTTGGTCCACATATATATCTTTCATGTAAACCACATCGACGATGAAATTTTGCTTTAATAAAGTTGATAAAACCTACAATTGAAAAGAAAAACAAATTAAAATCATCAAGAAAAAGATTTGATCTGCAAAATATTACCTCCTTGAATCTGGGTAATACCAATTATCAAGAATAGCAAAATTCCAATATGAAAGAGAGAGCGCATAATAATATACTTTGTTAAATAATCAAATAAAAAACATGTGCACGTATTTATTGTATTTATAGTGGAAAAAACGATGAGTAAAGGTAAATCAAGTGTAAACCGAAATAGAAACCATTATTTATGTGCAGGTTTTTTACCATTAATCAAGTGAAAGAACGAATGAGTATGATAAGGTATTACAAAATGAAATTTCGCATGAAAGCAACATAAATAATGAATAACAATATTGGACTATTATTATTACTAAAGTGAAGTCATTCACACGCAGTAATCTTCTATCAATGAATGTAAAAAAACAAAAGTCATGCGCTGTTTCTATAAATGGAGACACACGTAAATGATATCATATTACTTTTTGATTTGATTTCTATAAAAACATAAAATTTCCAACTGTTAATCAATGGGTTTTTGGACGAACTTCTTTCTTAAAAAACCCGAAATTTCAAAAGAAATCGAAATTCATGTTTTTTTCATAGGATATGTTGAAGTGTTTCTTTAGCGAATATGCATATATAGTTTATCGTAAAATAGCTAGATTTTAATAGACTCATTAGAGAAGCGTCCAGTTCTACTACGGTGGTTTTTGAAAAATCTTCGCATTATTTCAGAAGTCTCTTAACTTTAGAAAGACTTTTATTTTTTCCATTAGTGTCAAAACAGAATAAAACTCTTTTATATTAATCAATTAGTTCATTAGAACAATTAGGCTTAGGCTCGCATGTTTATATGTTGTCATGAATACTAGACATATAATTTTCAAAAATAGACAGTTGAGGAGAGTATGTAGTTTTTACCACTTTTGAAATTTCTGATTAGTTTACTGCAAGCCAGCTGCATTGAAATTTAAGAATAGATCAGCAAAATAAATAGATCAAATAAAAAGTTAATTTATAATGAAAATTTTCAACAAATGTCTCACGAGTAGACATATGTGGGATCAAGATTTTCTTTTATGCTGGTCTCGGTCTTGTTCCCTTAGCGGTTTTCTAGTGGTTCCAATCATGACATCAGTAAATCTAATTTGGTCCTAATTTGGGCGATTTTAGTTTTTTGAGTCTCGATCCAGTAGTGGAGCCAGAATATTGCCAGAGGAGCTTACCGTCCCTTCCTCTCCCTCCCCTATCCGTATTGGTCTTTGCAATAAAACGTTACATAGTCAAGTACTATAATTTTGTAAAGAAAATTAAATAGAGATTAATCAAAAACTAAGAGAATGATAGGCAAAAAGCGTTTGCACGTGCCAACGATTCAGTTTTTAGACCAACCATTGGCGATCGAGATTATCTCGATAATGAAGAACAATATCGTACAACCATTTATTGTCCATTAGCTGATAGTTTCTAAGTCTAACTAAACGCCGATTTTCCAGTGAAACTATGCAAACTTTAATCAGTATATTACTTCCATGTTCGTGAAATGAGATGAGCGTGAGTGTGGGTTTCTTCTTCGCCCACATCCTCGAGATATTGATCTCTCTCTGACAAAGTTCAAATGATTTTCTAGCGATTGGCCACTCTCTAGATCATCACGGCAAAAAGTACAAGTTTTGTAACAACAAAAAACGTGCAAAATATGGAGGCCGCATGCGAACACGACTCACTACAATAATGTTGTACTTTGCATCGCAGTAGCTAGATGATATCCAAGTTCTACCCGACTTACAAAATGCATTGCGAATCAATGAATGTCGAATATCAGAAAACGCAATGTCTCAAAAAAAAAGAATTGGAATAATCGTGTTTACACTTTATTAGAAAATGTTTCTCCCTAAAAGATATTTACTTTTTTGCTCGAATCCAGCTTCTATTGTCGCGATAAATCAAGTGATCGAAGTGTAAAAGAAGTTGATTAACAGATATTCTCAAATTGGTCACTCTGAGAATTCTATCAACGTGTGTCAGCATGTTTCTGAATAATACTGTCAATGGATCGTTTAGTTATCTGTTTGATTCAATATTTACGATCAACTGCACTTACACTATAGTAGATGAAATCGACTTATCGAATAGATTGACGGCTAGCTTTTTATCCTTTTTTTTATTTTAATTATCTCAAAACTTAAAACGTGTGAGGGAAGAGAATATCTACGTCAAAATCAGAAAAAGTTAACTTTGTCTTTACACTTTAAGATGTATTCAGAAGACTTTCTTTATTCAAAAAGAAATCAACAGCTTGTTTGTTTTTATTGTTTTTTGCCACAACATAATCATCAATAATATGTATTTACACTAATAAAAAATATGTCGCATGCTTCATATTTTGCAACAAAATTTACGGGACATGGAAGTGCAACAGAATGCGCTCATCGTGATACATTTCTCCTATTGAACTTGCGACATATAATTAAAAAAGGTTCGAATCTACATTTCGACACGTTCGTTATTCTTTTTTGTCGAAAATCGAGTAGCTACTGTTTTTCCAGTTTAATTTGAATTATTAGTACTTACTCATGGATTACATACAGTATGTTCGTAGGATTATTCAGCCACCTCGAATGGATTTGATCTCCATCAGAGTAGAGTACTTACGGGTACGAAAAGTCGTACCCGTACCCTACCCGACTCATAGGTTGCAATTTCCTAGAATCTTCTCCTATTCCGGCTCGCACCCCAAATATCTGGAATAGAGCCTATTATAACTGTAGGTGTAAGCGCAGCAGAGAATATAGTTTTCAAATTTGATTTATTTTCATCAAATAATAATGAAATAACAGCATCTAGATGACAGTCACACACAATTACGAAGAAATACAAGAGCATCAAGTGAGTCTGGACTTAATAATTGTCGTCGAGTCTCGAGGATTCGTCTAGTCTCGCTAAAGACTCTCTCGCTTGTTGCTGAACTAGCTGGAACTGATAATAAAGCCATAGCCATGCGAGATACTTTTTTTTTTTATAAACAACCGAATAATTTCCCCACCATTTCAAAATATCAGTATCTTTTAAAATAACGAATTTCTTTTTCATATAATCATTAATTTCATCACATTGATCTGCGTATTCATCATCAGATGCATCATCATCTTTTCCACAATATGATCTCAATACATCGTTCACAGTATTTATAACGATTAATACTTACATTAAACTTTTGGTTTCTGAATGAAGAAAAGTGGCTATGTAGTGAAATTCCGGTAACTAAATTTTATCATCAAGTTTATTTAACAAAATAGTTTTAAAGTCTGTTATTTCAGCTGTATCATCAAGTCGTACTTCACAACATTCAAGAAATTTTAAAAGAAAAGGTACAACGAGATGCAGAGTTGGGAAATCATCGGTAGATAATATTTCACTACCAGCCTTGAAGATCAATAAAATATTACATATATTACTTAAAAGTGTTCGACTGATATTATCAAGATAAAATATTTCTTTACGATCGTCGAATGTAAGTTCGATTTCTGTAAAATTTAGCAATATTGAGTTGAGCATGTCGAATATCGAATTTCATCTGGTAACACAATCATGTTTTAATGTTGTTGGTAAAATTTGTTGTAGCTCGCAACGTTTAAAGTGCGACACTAACTCACGAGACTCTTTCACCATAAGATTAGCAATATAGCAGTTTTCAATTGCTTGTGGAGCAGCGAAATTAATACAATGACACACACATCTAATGCTTAGGGTATACCAAAAGTTCTGATCACAGTTTTTAAAATTTAATAAAGCAATAAATATTGAATATTTTACTAAGGCAATATATAGTATAACGTCTCGTCTTTAATAATATATAGAGCAACNATGCTTCAAAAGATCGTACTATTTATTGAAACTTTATCCCAAGAACTCGGAGTAATTACAAGTTTTTTTCCCTAACACTGTATGTAAAGAAATATTTGTTAGCAAAATTATGAAAAGTAATGTAGTTAATACTTCTATGGATTCTCGAGGAAAATGTAAAGACTTCCATAAATTACTTAGTACCTTTCAACGCTCGTATTCCAATTTTTTATTTATTTTTTGAGCCTCCCCTAAATTTACTTTGCTCCGCCGCCTATGACTGCAGTTACATTTTATACTTATTCATCTGTCCGTTATGATACGTTTATTTTACCTTTTTAAAATTGTACAAATTCAATCAATGTAACCAATACGAACGATACAACAACATTTACTGTTGAATAAGCTGATCAGATTTATGAGTTTGTATGAAATAAGCTCAATGCAAATGGATCGATAAATGAATATTTCTTTTCACTTAAATTAATCTTTATAGAATGCTTGTACAATAATTGCTATACATTCAATTCAAAAACGAAAAATTCAAATAAAAACAAGATTCGGCAGACTAATGATGATGGGCAGCTCAAGAAAGTTTATATTACGCCTCTATGCAAACAGTGATCTATATATTCCATATGTTTTAAGAGGTTCATTTTGAATATTGCTTCGAAAGAAAATCTATGTTATTGGTGGAAATGATTGATATGATACATGATAACACACAATTACTACTCATTGATTTAGCTGACATTGAAACTTGCATTAGGCAGAAAACCTAAACATGGTTATAAGAACAGCACAATTTTATTTTTATCCTCTCTATTTACGGAATGTACAAATCAAGTGCCTCTTGGAATGCAAACAATGTTCAATCGATGTGGAGATACTGATTATTCATATTCACTAGGTATTTGTTACCTGCTTTACATATACGCCTATCTTGAAGTAATATCAAACTTTGTGACCGATACAACTTTATTCTTTTTTTCTCAGATATGAACAATGTCGATGTTGAAACTCACAAGAATAGTCAGTTCCATCAATTGTAGTTCCTCGTAAAAATACAACTTTTGAAGCACTTCTTTGTAATTATATTGACAAATGTTATTTAAAATTCTACTGTAGTTTTATTAAATACAACATCAATTCTGAATCAGTTTTTTTTGCATTGCACTCAAAAATGCACCAATCTTGACTTGGGGTGTGAGATTGAAAGTCGGTGTTGCTGTGAGTATTGCTGTCGGTGACCGACAGATTTTGGAGATGTGTGTTGCTGTTTGTCTTCTTTTATCTAGACATCCAACCATACCCACACTCTCACGGTCGAATAAGTTTTCATTTTTTCGCTTTTTCTCAAGTCTTACGTTGAACAAAAAACTAGATATTTGTTATTCAAATGAAATCACTGGCATACTCGTTCATGTGTCGTAATTTTCTGGTTATCTTGATTTTTTTTCTTGACAATAAGAGCAATACGATTGTTAGACTGATTGGATAGTATATACCTCATGGATGAACACATAACAAGTCGTCTAAAGCCTTGTAAAATTCAATATTTCTTTTGAAGTTCAATGATATTTATGCGAAATAATTGATACAAAAACAAAAGAAAACATTAAAAAATTATTCGACATTCGACCAGGAAAAATGTTTGGAGTTTAGCATGATACGATGGAGCACCATACAAAATCAGAAAATATTCGTTTGCATATAAGAGAAACAGATATGGAGCATCAACAATAGAAAAGTAACTTGAAACTAGGGAAAAATAATGAAGAAGAAAATGAAATAAAGATTCATTAGAGTTGGTATTAATGATTGTTCCATTCCACTTGTAGTTGATAATACATATACTGTGAATTTCTTAGAGTAGAGCAGATTATGGGCGTCAGTTTCGGATTCTATTTCTAGAAACCTGTAACTCGATGCGGGTTTCCGTTCCTTAGGGACGGATCTCTGACACTCCTATGGCGGATTTAAATTTTCCATTCTTTTCATTTTAGAAAAGAAAATTAAGTGACAAATAACTTTTGCTTTCTAGGGAAAGGAAAGTAAATACTTTCTTCCATCCTTTACTTTCTTTTTCAAAATTAAAAAGAAAATGAATGTGCTAGATATAAATGCGAACAAATGCCTCTATGTCTCGTCGACATATTGGACATGATCGCAATGAATGGCCACATGAAACACATGTAGCGAAATGCCCACATGGTATACATGCAATCTGTTTCTCTTCGCACATGCACAAAGCACAAGGATTTGTCAAAGTTATAGCACTGGTTTGCATCGGTTCTAAAGGTGTGATTTTAGGAGCTAAGTCTGGTGGTTTTTTCTCCTCAATAGTTGCGTTTATAGTTGTCGTCGAATTCGATTCACTATTGGACGTATTCAATTCATTCGTTCTTTCGACATTTGAAACAATAAATGTAGTCATATTTTGTTGGTTGGCGATCGAACGTGGACTCAGCGAAGATAATCTATTGGCTACTTCTAAACAATTATTTTAAGGTAAATATTGTATCGAAACATGTCTGTCACAGAACCTACCTGATTGTTGTTGATCACGAATTCGTTGCATTCGTACGCTGGGTACAATAATGTTTTCTTTTTTACCGTTAATAAAATCGATTTGTTTCTGAAGAATGGTACAAGCTATCCATAGATCTGAATCCGTTTCAAAATCTTCTTCTAAAATAACAATATCAATTATAGTTAAAATCTACAGAGCAAATTCAGAATGATTTTATTTTTACTTTTTAATCGAAGTTGATCTTCCCAACATCGTTTGATGATGGACAATTTAAAATTTTGATCCAGTAGTCTTTGCGAAATCGGCAAATCCACGCGAGCAGCAACATAGCGTGATAATGTGCTTTCATCGGATATTTGTAACTTTTGAGTATTTGAATTCTGATTAGCATTTGTTAGATCATTAACTCTGGTGCGCTCTACAAAAAGTAACAGATGCATCACATGTTCTAAGACATTAACACAATGAGGAAACAGTGGACGTCCACACTTCACAATTGAACTCTTTGTTGTTTTCCCTAGTCACTCATGACAGAGCTCCTATATTGAGATTCGAATAAGTAACAAACATAACGAAATCGTTTGAGATTACGGGTCAAACGTCTCAAAGAATATGGATCTAGTTTTACTATCAGTCTAAGACTCAGTATTGGATTCTAATTATTTCGCACAAATGTACTTTGCATTTTATTGCAACTCAATCCTTCACGCCGGACATCCGTCTCAGGTATCGAAAAAAGTTTCTAATTGCTGTTAGTGTTTTGTGCCCTTATATTTCGATAACGGTAGGTATGCTGATAATAAATATATCATTTTTTAACAAGTACTCAGAAAAGAACGTATAAAAACTTCTAAGACATTCAAAGCTTTTTATCGATAAATGCCGAAAACCACTCCAATCTGGTCGTTTTGTAGAAAATAATGACTGTTTTTGATTAAAGGTGCATATAGCTATTTTCTTGTTTGTCAGCCTTTATTTTGCATTAGTTTGTTTACTTATTCATATTCTACTATTGAAATCTTCAACAATTTTAAAATCCTCAATCGTTTTTTTTTTCATTTTTACGACTTTCGTCACGAGTAATGTTCTTAGAGTCTGAGAGATCTTGCAGATCTGAATCATTAAAAGAAGTTAGAAAATCAGTGAACTTCGTCATTGTATATATTCAACATTTCTCACGATTGAAATATATTTTTGGTGTAACGAATTTTTCAAGCTAATCGCATTTTCACATACCTTGGGCAATCCGTTTTGATTCTTCAATTCTTCGATAAAGAGCATCGCCGCAAAGTTGCTTGGCATAAGCACAATGAGGAAACCATCTCGCATGTTCAATCATTGGATTATCATTAGCACCCCAGTTCTGGAGTGATCCATTACAATAAAAACATGTCACAATAGTCTGTACACCCGTGTAGAAGAATCCCGCTCGAACAAGATCATCGACAGCAGGCAGCTGTTCTCCAGGCCATTTGGCAAAAGACGCATAGCGCTTTGGTATTTCCGTAAATGCACTGTGGCAAGCTACAGAGGATACAATTTCATCTGAACGAAATGGTACGGTAATCGCCACCGTTGACGAATGGTTGCTAACAATATTTTCATTCACTATCACTATAGGTGTCCTCGCACGATGTACTAATATGTTAAACATGTAGGGACATTTGGGTGATAGGGTTTTGTGTACTAGGCATGGATCATCTGTATTCGGTACCCATTGTTGACAAATAAGGTTACAGTAGATACATATAACACGATCACCGACATTACAGTTGAAAAATCCAGCTTCGATCACTTGTGCTTTGAATGACAACTGCTGATGGGGCCAAGTAGAAAAAGTGCGTTGTCGTATTTTTTTCAGCGTCTCTACTTCATAAAATGCTGGTAGCTGAATTTCATCGTTGGATATTTCGAGTTTTTGACGTTTTGCAGATCTCTCTTGTTCATCTGCATTCGTAGTTGGTATCGGAAGTACAGTGGCCATTGCAGGTGATGATAATAGTTGAGAGCCTGAAACCGAAGATTTTACAGAACGCACAAATGAACAATTCGGACTATGTTCTGAATGAATAGAAAATGGCTCCATATCAAGTGTCCAGTCGGACACTTCGAGTTGACAGGTGTTGCATCGAACTGTATCCCTGATATTAATATATTGGAATCCAGCTGCATTCATACAATTTATCGAATGAACACCTTGTTTTCTTGAGAGATCTCGACAAATATTCAAAATTTTAACAAATGCATCCTTGGAAAACCGCTTAGCTTGAATGTACATACCAACGGGTTCTTTCCTTTGGCCCCGGTGAGCAGTCTTCGAAGTGCACTGATCTGCTCCTACTCGATTGCTACAGATTTTGACAGATTTCACTTGAATTGCATCAGATTTAGGGCATGTTACACTAGACCCATTAAAGCCGCAACAATCAGATTGTTTATTTTGGATGTACGTCTTTCTCGATGACATTGGCTGCTCTAATATAGTTTCTTTTTGCATTTTAGTTTCGCATGGTGGTATTTTCTCACATAACGTATAAGAGTCATTAGTTGTTAATTTTGCTGCCATAGGGATGCTGGTCTCTACATCCATAGAGTCGGCTTTCGTCGCTAATAATGAACTTAAGGTATTCAAATAAAGAAGAACCTTGAATAGTATGCAATAAAATCCGCAAGATCTATATCTGAAGATGTAAACAAAAATGCATCTTCATTTTGTCTTCTATTTATTCTATCAATAACCCAAAAAGAAATAAATTTATCTCTATTGTCGTATTATGGGTGAAGAAAAAAAACAGCAACATATCATATTTTTTCTTTCACAATATGCAAGACAAGGAATCACATATGATGGAAACAAGTTCAATCAGAGCTACAGCCCATGATAAGAAAAGATGATAACTTATCTCCATTCCTTTTAAAGATACGTATTTACTTTAACCCTTTACGGCCGGATGGTACCAAAAGGTAACATTGGAAGACTGTTTCATCAAGAGCTCTTCCAAACTAGTGTTGAATGTCAATCTTATACCATGATAATTAAGAGCAAACATATCGCAATTTATTCACCTCTTATCCAGGATCAATAGACATTGCTTTCCCAACATGGCTTCTTGAAAGCTACATACCCTATAAAATTAATGTCATCATAATTATCATGTGTTTGAGAAGTTATTGAAATTCAATCGTGGAGTGATGTATCATAAATCTTTCGTTGATAGAGGAGCAATCTGCATCACTAGTAATAATAGGGTTTCAGTAGTAATTCAAAAGAAATAAAACGAAAATGTTACCTTTTGGTACCATCCGGCTGTAAGGGGTCAAAACTTTCGAAATTATCACGCGTCTTTTAAAGGTACAATTAACAAGGTATAGTGAATCTTCTCAAACTCAGTTTGAAATCAGAGAAGTCATGCATTCTCATTACTATGAACAGAGTACACATATAGGACTTTTACTGGAATTTTGACAAATCCCTGTGGTCCCCCACAGGTTACGAAAAAATTCGAATTTCGAATTTTGACTTGAAACTTTGCTCAATAAAAGCTCTCGATGAGAATAGTTTATGGTGAAAGTTTTAGCTATTTTGGGTATTTCTTTCCTCAGATATGAAGCATCCTTCACATCCTAGAGAAGAAGAAGAAGAATACCCCGCCTTTCGGCTACCTTGCGGTATAGGGTGCTGTCAGAGGACAGTTTCCAGAAGCCCGATATTTTCCTACATCTATTACTAAATGTAGCTCTGAACAAAAGGCCGGCCTGACTCAAAATTCTTCTCGCTTAATTTCTTAAGCTCCCCATACATACTGACTAACCACATACAAGTCACAAGTACCATTTAGCGTATGTCAACTACGTAGTCAATCTGTTATCGGATGGGTGGTCCGAGACAAAACAGCCGTTAGCGACTTGTTCAAGGTCATTCTATGACTGATGGAGCCGAGGTTCGAACACAGTATCTTGTGCTCTGAAAAAAAAAGGTTCCATGCGGAACCAAAAAGGACCAAAAATGGTTTTGTGCGTGCTACGGAACTTAAAAAAGTTTCGAGATTTGCAACGAAATGTAAACCTTTTTGAAGGTTTCGCAGATTTCACCGAAACCTTAAAAAAAGTATCCTAGACTCTCTATAAGTCTTTTGGAAGCAACTTAGGGTCCATACGAAACCTCTAAGAAGGTTTGGATTTGGTTGCAAATTAAGTTACGCGTCGAACCTTTTTGTTTCAGTGTGGATATGTGTCAAACATCTTACCCATTCAGCCATAGCGGCCATAGTAGAGCCAATTTTTCATAGTTCACATTTCACAGTAGGAATGTCCAAAGTGCCTCAAACTTTCACCATAAACTATTCTCATCGAGAGCTTTTATTCAGCAAACTTTCAAGTCAAAATTCGAATTTCGAATTTTTTCGTGACCTGTGGGGGACCACAGGGATTTGTCAAAATTCCAGTAAAAGTCCTATATGTGTACTCTGTTCATAGTAATGAGAATGCATAACTTCTCAGATTTCAAACTGAGTTTGAGAAGATTCAATATACCTTGTTAATTGTACCTTTAAAAGACGCGTGATGATTTCGAAAGTTTTGACCCCTTACAGCCGGATGGTACCAAAAGGAACCATCGTGATATTTGCTTAAATCTTATTGTTCAACTTCCAAAATTGAAATTTGGTTATCTTCATGGTTCAGTCATAAAAAATATCTAGTCCAAGAATTTTTTGCTTCACTGCTTCTAGGAGCCGGCCGTAAAGGGTTAAGTGTTCCAGTTTCTGGGATGTACCGCGCATCACAGACAGGAATACAATAAAAAATGACCGCTCTACCGGTGTCACAGTACCACCGGTGCACCGTCCACCCGGCTCACCGGTCCACCACCCACCGGCCCAACTTTCACGGGTGCCGCTGGTTCACCATACCAACCGGTGAGCGGTTCGCCATCACCGATGCATCCCTATGTGAGTGAGGGTGAGGGTGTGGGTGTGGGTGGTGGGTATGAGTGTAGATTTGGGTGCGTGTAGCTAAACTGTTTTCCAAAACCACACCCATACTCATACCCCAATAACGGATAAATTAATAAATGATAAATGAATATATCAAAACCAACTATTAATGTCTGCGCCAGAAGTAGATGGAGAAAACTCAAGGAGGAATATCTCCTGAACGGATGCAGCTAGCGACCTGCGGTTTTCACCATTAGAAAGAAAACGCCCAGGGGCATTCGCACATGGTAAAATATAATTGGTCAGCAATAGACCAATCAGATGCATTCTCGATGGAAATGTTGAGCACGGTATTCTAGAGCTCTTTCTCAACTTTGCTCGATTGTTTATTTACGTTTTTGATAGAAAAAATTGTTCTCTTTCGATCTACGAAAAGCCGGCCTTTCTAGCTTGTTCCGTTCAAGAGTTATAAGAGTTTTCCTGAGAACCCTGATTTCAGCCAATTGACCTTGGATCACCTGGGAAACAGTCTGGGATGGGATAATTCATCATGCTGAGTCGAATGATGATATTTGTTTTTAGGTTCGAAATCAGCTTAGGGTATTATCTCAATATTTCCAAAATATAGACTTGTGTGATACGTAGCGGTAGATCCTATGAAATTTAAAAAATCTGTAAAAAGCATTGTAAGCTGATTTCGAACCTAAAAACGAATATCACCATTCGACTCAGCATGATGAATTACTCCATCCCAGACTGTTTCCTAGGTGATCCAAGGTCAATTGGCTGAAATCAGGGGTCTCAGGAAAACTCTTATAACTCTTGAACGGAACAAGCTAGAAAGGCGGGCTTTTCGTAGATCGAAAGAGAACAATTTTTTCTATCGAAAACGTAAATTAACAATCGAGGAAAGTTGAGAAACAGCTCCAGAATATCGTGCTCAACATTTCCATCGAGAATGCATCTGATTGGTCCATTGGTGACCAATTATATTTTACCATGTATGGATGCCCCTGGGCGTTTTCTTTCTAATGGTGAAAACCGCAGATCGCTAGCTGCATCCGTTCAGGAGATATTCCTCCTTGAGTTTTCTCCATCTACTTCTGGTGCCGACATTAGTTACATAAAAGATGTTAACCACATAATAATGTAGCAACTAAAAATATCAGATAGTCAGCATTACAACAGAGTAGAACTATTGTCACTCTTTTTATTACAAGAGAATATTTCTTTTCTCAATTATCAAGCAGTCTTTTCCTCACTCCTTACACAGTAGCTGACAATATCTAACTAAGATTGTTGCAATTTTAATGCGCGCAGTTTGCAAATACTTTCAATGATAACCGTACAATATATGTCATATTGTTTCGTGTTCAGTTCACATATGAAGATAAATCATATGTGGGATTAACTTTCGATTCATTAAAGTTTGATGTATTTAATTATTTCCAGTTTCCAAGTTATTTCATTCGAAATTATATCGCTATATTCTCAATGAGAATTAGGAACTGGCAATTTACGAAGACTACCATGAAACTGATGATTCTTTGATGTGCACAATACGAAAGGGATTTAATGTCTCACTTAAAAATATGACTTATTTTCCATATATATTTATACACTGTTCTCTTAGTGAAATGGATTTGAAACATTAAACGAATGAAATGAATTTTATTGTGTATGACCAGCAGTTATACTTTCAATGTTTTTCGAACATTTATTTATATTACGTATTCTTGGGAATTCGCCGATTCCCTCTTGCCAATTGACCCAATAACAAGATGAATATCTGATATGATATGATATTTTGTTTTTAGTAACATTGAATATACAACATAGAAGTGGTAATCTTCCATTAAAGACAACAGAAAAAAAAGAAGGAAAACAGAAAGATTTAAGGTGCTGAAATTTCATATATCGAACCAAGAAAAGTATCAGCTATACGTCGAGCTTCACGTAAACCACTTAATAAAGAACCATGAACTGTTGCTGGATAATTTCGATTTGTATGTTCACCAGCAAAATATACACGTGGAATTTTATCACCAGGATATTCAACTGGACGACCTAATATATCATAATCATCACCTTAAAAATAAATAAAACGAAATTCTATTTAATATTATTTTTTATTCTTGTTATAAAAAATAAAATAACCTGTGGCACCAACAGCAACATATGAATAAGAACCACGTGCAAATGGATCCGATTTCCATCGAGTGACTAAAGATTCTTTTGGCTAGAATGAACAAGAAATAATATTTAAACCAATTTATCATCGAAAGTCTTTTTTTTCCACATGGTTATAGAGATATTTGCTAATATGTCTATACTAAATAAATGCGGAAACTTCGGATTTAAATCCGAGAGTTATGTGTACTTCAAAAAGTGAATCATACGAATCAGTCATCCTAGAATGTCTGAACATCAAAATTATACTGGGAAAACTAGCATTGCAAATGTTGATTTTCATTACGCGTTGCCAAACCAATTGGACGTGGGATCGAACACAGCTCAAGTTTGAACTCTGCACCTTGATTTACCCTAAAACAGTCATTTTTCCTATAACTTCATTTCTATTGGCCACTGCACAACCAATAGTATTACGTTGGAAGTGCAGTACACATTCGAGTTCTTCATCTCTGAAGACCTCGAAACATCATCACTGTGATCGGGAGATAGAGCGCTATTTGTGGATCAATTAGATCGTGAACCAAAATATAGCCCAGTTCTATTTAACTATTCTTGTGATAGGTGAGTCAACCTTCTTATTTGTTTATGTTTTATATATCATTTTGTAGCTCTTGAAATTCTCTATCGAATGGTATATAATAGTTGGGATTTTAATTGACTATGATAGGAAAAGTCTTTTACGAAAGCCGCGATGGGTCTATTTTTCCACAGAAAGCTATAGGTAAAAATGGGTATTTTTGAAATAGCTCAGGAACGGCTCGGTCGATCCTTCTCACCTTCAAACTCGACCGAGATATTGTCAAGACTAAGCTTTGTAGAAAGTTTCATCGCAATCTGACTCTGTTGTCAAAAGTTATGATGTGAACAGCCAACCGGACGCACGGACACACTGACTATTCTATAGTGTACTCACTTTTCTAGTACATAAAACTATGATTCGGTTCAAAACTAATATCAGATTCAAAATCAGCGTTAAAAACTGAGTCGATTTATACTTAGGGCATACCAAAAGTAGTGAGAGAGGTACTTTTTTTCCTTGAAGCGGGGTACAAAAAAGATTTCTTTTTTACCAATAGATAGAGCGTGTTTCACTCTATTTTTCTATGCTATTTNTAGGAGTCATTGCACGATAATGACGATCTATTCTGATTAATTAATATCCTAGATTTCAATAGAACTTTGTATCAAAGTACAGGAAATGCGGTTTAATATTCATTGTATATATATATTACTGGCATTTTCGACTGTTACTAGTAAGTCATCATCAACAATAAGACGTCATTTATGACCTTGAGTTTATTTAAAAAAAACAAATAATAAGTGTCGGAACAAAACTAAAACAATAAGAGCGATATTACCATAAACAATAACAAAAATTCATGCAAACATAACCATGATACATCTAATATTCATTTATTACACCAGATCATATATATATGAATATTTCTAATTGACGAAAACAATATTTAAGCATTTAATTTTACAATAATATAATCAATAAATAAGAAATAAAGTCTTGAATGATAGCAATAATATATCAAAATAAATCAGATATAGTTTAAATTAATATTTTGCTGTTCTGCTTTATTTTTTTTCAACAGTTATTGTTTGTTTGTTTAAAATAAAGTTAAGGATATAAATGATGTCTTATTGTTGATGATGCCTGTACTGATAAAAGTCGAAAATTCCAGTAATGTATGTAAAATTAAAAATAAATTGCATTTCTTCTACTTTGATACATTATTGATATTATTCAAGATTTTATTTCGTATTTATTAAAGATAACTTTGCTTTTATGTAGCTTCGAATGAGATGTGAAAAGGTCAAAAACTTCAGTTTCGAGGGTCATTCTCTTGTTGAATTATTCAATCTACGATAGAAACATCCTGAAATTAAAAAAAAAATGCGGATAACTATTGCAGTACTCATGTATTGTATATTTCACTATTATTTAACGATAATATATTTAGTTCTGATATTTTCTAAGTCGATACTATCATAGATACTGTACATATTGGCATACTCACCATGACTTTTTGGCATGTTAAGTCTTGTAGACGTATTTCAAGAGTCTTCGACATACCGTGAGGATTCTGAGATTTATTTTTTCTATCACATTTCTTCATTTATTGAGGTTTATCAATTATAATGATATTTTGACATACCCATATTCACCACTCACATATTTTTTTCTGATATTTTTTATATAAAAAAAATATAAAACAACTGAATTAATCTACGTTGATAATGTGTGATAACAATTGAGATGTTTTTCCTTATTTATGAATCTTTAATTTCGTATGAATTTGCAGCAGATAATCAGTTTATATCTTCAACACTTTTAAAAATAAGTGCAAAACGTTGATTTTGATATAAAAAGAACATATGAATAAAATGTTTACTCTCTGACTTGAGTTGGATCGAGAAACTTGAACATTAACATTGATAACTAGAGTTATATGGTATTTTTTTTTAGTTTCTCTTTGATTTCTAGAATAGATTTAAAATAAAAACATTAGCTAACTTCCAATCATGAAAGTGAAAAAAGAGGACGATATTGATGTAAGGTTGTCAATGACGTTCTTGCTTTTGCCTACATAAACTTAAAACTCAGGTCGGAAAATTTTGAATTCGATGAGCTCTATATATACTATATAGGGTGTGGGTGTGGGCGTGGGTGTGTGGGTGTGGGCGTGGGTGTGTGGGTGTGGGCGTGGGTGTGGGTGTGGGTTGCGGTGTGGGTGTTCATAAGAAAAGTACCCACACCCACATCCACATCCACACCCACACCCCACACCCATACCCAAACCCACCACACCCACACCCACACCAAGCCACAGCCACACCCACCCACACACCGAATAGCACATGAGCCTATTCGAGTTGAGTTCATGAGCTGGAACTATTGTAGATCTGTTGTAGTAGCAGGGGAATGTGCGCGGACAGATGCAGATATATGGATGAAGATCTCGGTGAAGCTGCAAATTTGATTATCATTTTGGTGATGAAACATTCTTTATCGGTGATGCGCACCCAATTTCATGCGAGGAAAACTTTTGGTTTTTTTAGGTAAAGTAAAATCGCTTTTTAAGTTGTTACATTGTAGGAACAAAGTAGTTAGTAAGGGAGAGAAGAAATACATTGTCGACGAAATAACTGTCGAAAAAGTGCCTGTCGACAAAACATCTGTTGACGAATGATGTGCAATTCTTTTTAGCCACGCTCATGCTTGATCATGATTGTGACCGTGATCGTGACGGTCACGCAGGATATTAGACAGCAGTGTTGATCTAGTACGATGATGATATTGATGTTTCAAACATTTTTTCGATACTGTCACAGTGGCAGTAAGAAAACTTTTCTTTTTATGACCGCATTGCAATATCCATAGATTTTTAGTTATGATGAACATCTCCGAAATATGGTCATATATAATATATGTATTGGCTCATGATGATATATTTAAGGGTGTGGGTGTGTTTGATTTATACCCACACCCACATCAAATTTAAGCAAAGCCTAATAGACTTGATCGCCCAGTTTCTGTGAGAATAGATTGTGGTTGCTTTAAAATGGTTCCAATATACCTAAATTGTCAATGTCTTAACATCTGAATGACTCGACCTAGACTAATGTCTGCATCAGAATGAAAGAGAGGTGAGTGTAAGCGCAGTATCTCGATAATGACAACAGTTAGCGACCTGCAGCTTTCACCAATTGACAGAGAAGAAGTTGGGACATCTTTTTCCGGAAGTGGATGCGGGTGTGGAGGTTACTGAAGAAGGAGATTCACACCCATCCTCAAGGGCAAACAGTTTTTTGGTGTTTACCGTTATTGATCGAAGTTGATCATACTTGCGTCGACTTCATCGCACATTAATAATTATAGTTTAAGGTTGATGTGGAGTTATCAGAGAATATTCAAATAAATATCATGCTATTGTATGTAAAATAATTTGTTAGCCAAATGAGCAATATAAAATTATGTCACATTAACTCAATTATTTGAACTCGAATCGGAGTAGTTCCATCGAAAATCTTCCATGTATAGTATCCTTCAGCAGCCAAGCGGAAATTTTCAGCAATTGAAGACTTCAACACCCTAAGACATTTCATCAAAAAAAATTGAATAGAATTTTCATCGGTATCATGGTTTTCTTCTCACTACAAAATATTATTTTTCGGTCTTTAAGTCCAATTTGTATCATTTTCACCATTTTGAGGTAGGGGTGGAGTATGAGTATTCTTCTTCTGTCGACCCACACCCTGCCGCACCGTCATGGATGTGCGTGTGGATTACCAGAGAAACTATTCACATTCGCGAATACACCCACACCCTTTATTCTGAACACTTCTTTTTGTCAATTGTTTGAAATGGAAATAATGTTTTTCATTAAAATAAATTTAATTAATCATAAACTATTGTTTATTATTCAATCATTTATCTTTTAATAGTTGAATGAATTTTGCATTCTGGAATTGAGAAAACATTTCTTCAGTGAGAAGTACAAAAAAACAGATCTGTGTTAAAATGAATTTTGCGTTAATAAAAAGGAAAATTCTTTACCTATCAAAAGAAAATGTGGAATTCAAGACATTAATAATATGCATTGTCAGATAATGCAGGTATGTTTTCAAAATATCTGTGCGTTTTATTCAATTTTATTTTCAACAAATGTTATTTTTAAAATTGATCTTCTTTATCCAAAAGATGTTTCCTGGCCATGTTGTTTCCCATTCTCTCAAATTGAGTTGGTTACAAGAAACATCTGTTACGATATATTGTCGTTCTGTGAAAAACGATATCATAAATTCATATCGTTTTCGATGCCATTTTCTAAAACCATGTCCCCATTCCATTATGATGAGTTGTATATCAATTAGATCAAAAGTTTTCGATCCAGCTTCGCACATAAAACCCTCTGANTCATCTCGGTATCCTGGATCTTTTTTTCTCCTTACTTAGTTACAAATTCTGAAGTCACTATTCCCTTTTCTCACTTAATTTATTTGGACCTTAAAGAATTCTCATATCCATTAAGCTCAACTTTTCCATCCTCGTTTCTGTACGCTTGAAATAATTTATTCTACAATTCATCAGGTTCCGTCAGGATCCATTAGGATCCACCAGAATCGAGTAGGATCCACGAGGATCCGAGGATCCAGGATCCGCTTTTTCCCCCTTGTAAAAATGGCACTACATTTAAAGTTCAGTAGTTCAGTGAGTTAATGTAACAAACTCAAAGTGAAGTCCAAATTCATTACCCAAACCCGAACTCCCAAACGGTTTGGCTTTGGTGCATATCTATGAATTGTTTCTCTAAGTAGAGAAAAATATTTATACCATATCATGAGTTGCTAACAATAAACCAAGTGATATCAACAACATCCGTCATGGTTATGGTTGTGAATTATATATATTTACATTATTCATTATATACATCAAGTTCTGACGATGATCGAAAAGACCGAAAATTTAACATTAAAAATTTTTATTTCATTATTATTGAAAAGAAAAGAAATTAAGTTAGAAATTTTTGATTGGAAAATTTGAACCTAAAATCATTATTGCTCAAAACAATCCATCAAGAATAATTGAGATACTTGCAAGCAAGGAGTATAGGAAGCCTTTTAACTTCGATTTTTCAGAGTGATTAAATGTTGATGAAACTCACGATTTTTCTAAATTGAATCAAAGTATCAAAAAATTAATTTTTTGCATAATATCCTACGTTGAGGATATCGAAAATATAGTCGTTTTGTGTATTATTTTATTTTCAAACATCGAAAAATAATCAAGTATGATCTTAATTCAACGATACTGATATAAAAAGATTGATCGAGATCAAAAATATATCAGTTGTTATTAGCACTATTCTGTGTCGAAAATTCATCTTTATTGAAAAAAAAACTAAGGAAAAGATCTATGCTACCAGAAAAGATATCATTACTTCATTCTAAACCATTCAGATTCATTTTTGTACGTAGTGTAGTTCGATTTCATTCTTTGAACAGTTTGTATACAATTGTGAATATTTTCTCTGTAGAGTTTATTAAAACATATATATATATTTAAGATAAACAAAAAGATTAAGACAAAGCATGGTTAAGTACTAACTAAAATAGAATAAATTGAAGTCTAAAAAATTAAGCATTGAGAAAAGTCAGTATAGTAAAACGAATCATAGATAAAGCAAAAACCACTAGACAAAGACGATCAATGACCCTTGTCACAAATTTCCATTCTTGAAATTCATCATCATCTTTCTCTTGTTGACCAGAATGACTAGTAGGAATAGTTAGTTGAGAAATAATAGTACGTAGCTCAGAATGGATCATTTCCATATTAGATGTATTCAATTCTTTCGATGTATTCTGATGATGATGAGAACGGTGACTTGTCGTTGTTGAAGGTACATCAAATTCTAATAGTGGATCTAAGCTTTGTTTTTCTCGGTTTTCTTGGAATTCTAAAGGTTTCCTGTCAATATTCAAACCACTGGTTGATAACAACTCGAATGTATTATTCAATAATGATTCAGAAAGAATCTTAGAATGATCATCACCAATCGATTTATTTATATTATTCGATTCTTGTTTTGAAGAAGTTCATCGACGATGAATCACACGCCAATGCAAATCATGATTAGGGCACTTCATGCATAATAGCCATGCTAAATAGTTACAAATATACTTACAAATCTGAAATGATTTCTAAAATCATGTGATTTATTCATTTTCAAATATGATTTACCCATAATGGCATTGTATAATTTTTAGAATTTCGAAAATGAAGCAATAATACTAATACTGATGCAATAACTGAAACCACTGGCATGATCATAACACACATGAAATAAACGGTAATAATCGGTATAGCATGTGAACTTGGTGGCATAATTTCTGATAGAAGTAAACTGAACATAATAACAGTGAGAAGAGTTGTAATCTCTGAAGATTTAGAATCTGTAAGAACAAATTTTTTATCGTCAAATTGTCACTTACGCAAGAGTATTTTATTACCACTATCCGATGATAATAAAAGTCCGAGTAATGTCATACAACTAATAAGAAAACAAGATACTATGAAACGAAATAACAATAGTGCTAATTCAAAGATTATAAAAACTGTTGTAATTTGAATTTTATTACCAACGGCATGTGTAATATAATAAAGAGAACGTCGACGCATTCGGATAGCGTATAGTATGTATGGATACACATTTGGACAACAGTCGTATTTGGTGCCATTGTTCGTTGCAGAAAAATCTAAAACAAAATGAATAGAATAAAATGCACTTAACCCATATCGACTACCTTCTAGATCCCATTAGGCACTTGTAATATATGCATCTAATTGCCCTTTGCTACTTTCTGCCGTCAAATTGATACCTAATTAATAAAAAAGGTATATAGTATGCAGAAGCATTTGGCATTTCATCCTAGAAATAAAATTATTCAACCGCACATCAGCATTATCATATATTCAAGATAAAAGTACGATATGACTGACATCTTTTTTTTTGATAGTTACAAATGGAAATGCAGCAATATCAAAGGGACAACTTGATTTAAATAATACTGGCGGAACATATAGTATATCGCCATTATGCCGCACAACGGCACTGACTTTCACTGCAGCATCAAAGATTTCATCGGCACTTAAAAAAAACAAATATAGTTTTTCAAGATATTTATCTTTTGAAAAATAATAATGGGTAGTATAGGAAAATATCTGGTGTCCGAAATTGTGTACTTGGTATTCGTACAGTTTAAATATTACCAAACTCTTCTGGTTTCCATCTTAAACTATAATCATTCCACATCTATATAGACATATATGAACAATAATATCAGATACCGAAATAGTCAAAAGTACGAAATTAACACGTTACAATTAACTTAGAAGAAATGTTCGATATTTTGCATTTTAACAGTTGATATACATTTGACTTTAACAACGCTAAAACGAGTGTAAGCACAAGTGTTTAAACGCATTGAAAGTCTTCGTTTTAGTGGCTTAATAATCGAGTATTTGAGTACTATAAAATACATTGAACATTTTTTTCGTATTGATTACTAGCTATTTTTGTATTACAAATTTTTATGAGTACTCTCAGTTGTCAGGAAAAAAACAACAAGAGAAAAAAAGAAAACATGTAAATTTTGTTAAAAAGTTGACTGATTTAAATATATATGTATATGCAACAGTCCTTTTTTCTCTGGTTGTTTTTTTTTTCTGAGAATTGTGAGCGTCCTCATGAAAAGCTAGTAATAAAAAATAACTACTAGTATTCAACATTGAAACAATTTTCAGTGTATTTTATAGGACTCATATACTCAATTATTCACTGATTCATTTCTACTGCTCTTTCTAATGGATTTACTTTTCAAGAGATTTCGTGTACTACTAATTTGTCGCCTTATGATAGCAAATGAAATGAGGATCAAAAATGCAAATAATTGTAATTGCGTAACTAGTGGTGACGACTATTATACTCGAATTACTTAAAATTGTTTCATTTAGTTGTATTACTCACACCTCACATGATAAATAGGACAATGAAAAACTATATATATATACCTTAAAGATGGCAGATAAAGTTTGCCATTGATAAAATAATGTTTATTCTGTTCAGTTTTTGAAAACGATATTCTTAAATCACTTATAAAAACCTCTGTCAACATGCATCAAAAGACTGCGTTCATTCATTCATAAAGGATCGTCACATATGTCTTGTGAAGACCATTCTATAAATATTCATTTATATTTTTTAATCGTTTCATTGCTCTAAAAAATTTCTATATTTAATTCACACAAAAATATTCTACATGCATGCAGCAAAAGAAGTTTTCATGTTATTAATCTATGAGAAAGCTTGCGACTTTAGTACGTGTAGCGAGAACTCTATTAAGACGAAATGAGAGATATTCTCATTGTGTTCAATACTTTGAACTCTATTCCTAGGCAAAATACAAATATTCTATTAACATGCAGTACAAGTTTCGGTTCTTTCGTTCATGCAAAAACTTCTGCTATATTTCTTGTAAAGACCATTCTATTTATTCACAATAAGATATATTTTAATTCTGTTTGTTAGCTTTAAAAAAATGTGTATTACACTCATATAACAACTCCAAAATATTCTAATGTAAATTAACCTTGTCAATAATGTACTGCCCAGTGAAAAATATTCCGAAGAAAATCCGGATTATTTTTGATTACCGACGAAAAAATCCGATTTTTCCAACAAAACTTCTACCATTTCAAGAATAATCCGATTAAAGTTGATTAAAATGCNGCCGTAAACGTCTGTGATTAAGAGATACCCCTAGGATCCACGAATTCTCAATTCAAGGAAATTCGAGAAAATCAATCAACGCAACAGACGTACATAAGATATTAGGTTACAAGCCTTAACTACGATAGAATTCGAGCAAATTCTAGAAATTCAAGGAATTCAACGAAGATATAGAACAAGGTGAGTGATTCATTGAGCAGCGCATAGGTTCCAAAACTGATCTTAAATTGCTAAAATTTCCTTGAATTCTATGGAAACTTCCAGGACTATAATTCAAAGTTATGTGATGCGTTGAACTGCTTGAATTCTTTTATTTTCTTGAATTGTCGATTTTTGGATTTTAGGTACTGCTGTATTCTATGCAAAACCGGCTATGGTGAAAAGACACGCTGATGATTGACGATCATCATAGGTAACGAACGATTGTTTTTGCTCTAGTCAACGTGATGATCAAAATGAATCAAGAATCTTCTCGTCGGATCTTCGTGAGAGACAAAAACGAAAATCGAATGCTTGAAGATGTGATACTAAATATTTTCATTGATGACTACTGATCATATCGTTCGCTTCTTTGATATCAACGTTTGAATGTTGAGACCATCGGCAACATTCATTGAAGTTTGGTAAAGTCAACAATTGAAAATTGTTAAATTGACGCGATAGATCCAATTGTAGGAAAATACTCTGATCCAACGAGAAAATATCAAATGAACGAAGATTAATGAATTGTCGAATATCGAATTTTGAGAATAATAATTTTGAGGGTGTCTGTGTCAGTATCTCTTTTTCTCTACCTACACCCTTCTTAATCTTTTTATTTTTACGTATAACAAGATTTTTTGTATGCTTATTTCCATTATATGTTGCCAATTGAATGTCAATAGAAAATTTTTTTTTTGATAAATTTCAATCTCTTGAGGAAGCAACAGTGATTGAATAAGAAAGAAACTTTAAAAAAAAAGGTCATAAATATACCTTCAACAGAAGCGACGTACGTTGATAAGCTCTATAAGTTTGAAGTGCAGGACATCCTATGCCCAAACTTTGAATCTCGCAATTATACCAAAGTCTGTTTAGTTGATTAAGTAAAACCAGTTTTAGTAATTTGATTGTTCGTTGAATATTATGTGTTGTATTTGGCAGTAGATCAGTAGTTATAGAGATAGTTGATTAAGAACTCAAGGATAATGATGGTTGAATAGGGATTACATCAGTGGAAAAATATCCGGTTCATGACTGTTCGATGCTATTTAAATATATAAATCTTACTAATGAATAACTGTAATTTTTCATATATTTTCATACATTTCGACTAGTAGTAGTTTCAATAATTTCAACTGCCTCCCTGTGTTTTATGTTTTTGTTTAAACTTTCAATTGTCAAATCCGTAGATTTCGAGAGTCGTTTAACTAGGGTCTGGGTGTTGCTCATGCCCACACCCACACGCACACACATTAATTGACATGCCATGTGTATGAAAAGTATTTTTTTGAATTGTTTGCTTTTTCAACTGACAACAAGCGTTTCTATTGCCAGTCAAGTCATGAAGAGAAATGAAGAATTTAAAACACATTTGCAATAGCAAAAAGAATACTTTTTTTTCAGTCAGGTCATGTCCTCTAACATAGCACTACAAAAATCAATTTGAATCATTGAGAGTTACTTCGTAAGAGAAAAAAAACATTGAATGAGTAAGTAATTTTTCATCATAATAAAAGAAGTGAATGAAAAACAAATATTATGTCCAAAAAGATTCACGTTAAATTCAATCTATATAAGATTTTGTAGTCGATGCTTTCAATCGATATTCTAGAGATAAAAAAGAGACACATTGCATATCAATGAAACTTGAAAATTTTTAAAACACTTCACATGATTGCATCAGCGGTAGGTAAATTAAAGTTGAAAAACAAAATAAGTTAGAAATCTATTTCGCTTTACTTCGGAAGTAGAGTTTTTTATTCGATCTGTCAATTTCAGATTCTTTATCAAACAATGATAAATTCGAAGTTTACATGCTCGCCATTAGTTGATGATGAATGCTTCTCTGCAACGTGGTCACCTACAGACGAGGAGCGTTGTCAGCTTAAGGAACTCCAAGAATATGAACGAAGAGGTACTGCTTTTGAACAATTCCTTCAATTCGGATCTGGAAAGGAACCAAGCGTAGTATTGGATGAATTTCTCTTCTTGGGAAATATACATCATGGATCCAGTTTAGATATACTCGAACGATTTAAAATCGGTAAATCAATATGTCGACAGACCTATACTATTCTAAGTTTTTAATATTTATCGTTTAGGCCAAATCAGATAGAAAATTTTCCTTTCGATTAAAAAGAAACTGCAACAGGAGGTCACAGAGTTACACTGTTTTTTTCTAAGACTACTATCCTGGAAATAATATCTTTCGGAAAAAAGATACTTTCCGAAATAAAAATACATTGACTTGACGCCCAAAGTGCCTACATGTCAAATTCATTAAAATAACTTTCGATTTGAAATTGTTTTTCTTTCGAAATTCATGATGATCCCCTCTCACCATGGTATAGAATGTAACAAGAAGGCTTCACAATGAGATTAAAGATGAATTTCTAATTGGTACGTAATATAATCATATTTCGTGTTGTCGTCAGAAAATTCTTCAGGTAAATATATACAGGAAAAACCGGTTTGTGCATGTTTCTGTAAACTAGTTTATGGATAAATATCACATTCTGAGGGAACTTATTTCAATATAACTCGTCCCAGTGAACTGTGAGTTTTTTATTTGATGGACAGACGTATGTGAAAGTAAAGAATTTTTACATTGAAAGATATATAATCTCTGTTTTATTTTTCCCAGAACATACCATTAATGTAAGTGAAACAGATGTTAGTGACAATTTCCCTCAAAATCGTTTTGATATCGTTTACATACCAATAGATGATGATATTCGAACAAATATTAAACAGGTATATCTAATAAAATATGAATTAATTTTTTATTTCTGTTTTTTTGTCTGCAGCATTTTGATCGTACCAATGAACTGTTACATAGCTATTACATGAAAAATGAACGTTGTCTTGTTCATTGTGCTGCTGGTAAGTTAAAAATTATTTTTATTCCTTTGCACAAAATTTATAAGAGATGTTAAATCCTTCAATTTGCTGTTCTCATCTTCTTAGACATAAGAAAAAATATCCTAACTTAATCTCTATTTTAGGCGTTTCAAGATCAGCAACTATTGTCTTAGCGTATTTAATGAAAGTAATGTATCTTCAGAATACATAAAAAACATAATATTGAAATTTGATTTTAGTATCATCATAATACACTTAAAGAAGCTTTTCATTATCTCGTTGAAAAACGTCCTCAAATATGGCCCAACGAAGGTTTCATGTTACAATTATTACGCTATGAAAATGAACTAATTAAATCACGTGAAATTGTATTAACTTCAGAGATAAGTGAAGCATCTCTCTGTACTGCTGTGTCGTCATCCAACAATACTATTTTTCGTTGGATTTCGTTCCCTCATTTATTCTCTTGCGAATATTTATACTTGTTCTCTCTTCTTGATTTCTTCCAACGTTTCAATTTGATTTTTCGTATCGTTGGATGACGACACAGCAGTACAGAGAGATGCTTCACTTGTCTCGGAAGTTAATACAATTTCACGTGATTTAATTAGTTCATNACTTTAAACTTTAACTTTTAAAGTTTAAAGTATCACTTTAAACTTTAAAGTTTTAAGTTTAAAGTACCACTTTAACTTTAATTTTTAAAGTTAAGTGAAAGTAACACCCCTAGTCAAGATTACTGCGATTGGACGTGAATATAGAGGTTCAACACCAGAATGTGGATGTTGTTGCTGGCGATTGTTCATAGCTGCTGAAAATAATTCTACATTTTAGAAACAATCAGTTTACTATAAAACCTGTACGTAGAGAAAGAATCTTTAAGGTTTTGTACGAACTTACAAAACTTACAGTGTTTCGCAAACTTATTCGAGTCTTTTCTAGGTTCGATAAATTTGTATGAAACTTCCAAGGCTCTTCTCATTAGAGTACAGTTTCTGTCATAAACATATTGTTTTTTTTTTGAGTGTATAAGAATTCAGGAATTAGTTAAATAGACAAAAAATGTGTTATCCGTACAAAGACATAAATAATAAATATTTATGAATGAAAATAACACAAAAATGAGACGTTCTCTTATCTATGCTGATGATCTTTATCTCATGCACAAATTTTTCTTCTTTCTAAACTTGCTAGAAGTATTCTTAGATAATAGAAAACCATTCGTAGTTGGTCTAACTAGTCAGTTGTAGCTGTATGCTCGCATGGATGGGTGTAGATGTGACATTAACAAGTCAGAATACGGTAAATATTCTAGGAAATACATTAGATCATAAAAAAATAGCACATTCTCATCTCAATAAACGACGCGCGTAGTCTTTTTATAGTTTAATTGAAACAATATTGTCAGTTAGATATTATATTTATATCACACGTACAACGTGAAGATACTTTCTCTATACCAAAATGCCACAAATGGTCTGCAGTAAACGCCTAAAAAAAACATGGAAATGGCTCCAAAAGAATTTGAAGATCGAACGAATGATCAGGCTATATAGTACATATTTTATTCAATATATCCTTTGCATAATGATTTTTCATTTATACTAACCGTTGATGGGAATTACTCATCAATTAGCAAATATTTAATTCACAGAGATATAGGAGAAGAAAAATCATTACTTTTTAGTTTTAATGTAAAATATTCTCAGTTGTCGCTGTTGAAGAAACTGATAAGGTATTATTACAACTAGATTATCAACCTTTTAATTAAATATAATCTTTGTTCTTTTCTTCCTTCTGTATTAGTGTTTTTTGTTTGAAGATAAAGACGATTATTGACCAAGTGAAATAAACCAATCACATAATTTCAATATAGAGAAAAGAGAACACTAAAATAGAAAAGAAAATCGAAAATTATATTTTGACAAATCTCTCAGATTCGAAACCTATATATTCATAAATGGGTATGTGCAGCTAGGTTGAAACATTCATGTAATAGCTGGTAGTATTTTATTTATGTATAATCATAAGACAGCATCGACATATGTGTCAGCTGATCATTTTGCATAGATGTACGTATACCAATCAACATATACAACCAGTGTTTTTAATAAAACAGTCTACTTTGAAAAACAAAATGTGTCGCACCCTAATAAAACAGAATTTACACACTGTTTTATACGCTGAAGAAAACAAAATAGCGTGTACACTATATACACCGACTTCCCTTTTTACACTTTGTTATTTTTTATATAAGATTTTCGTACTTTTATGCTTGAAAGAAGTCTATCCATCTAACCTGATCAAGATTATAAACATTTCGTCCGGGAATAATAATAGAAAGATGCGCTATTACATCTTTCACGTTCATATACACATAGCTTGAAATATATGTCGGTATTCGTTTAGTGGGTGTTCCGTCAAAAATGTAGAAATACATCGTAACTAATATTGCTGTCAGGGTAACGCATACTGTGCCGGTTTTTATTCTGATACAGAATACCATGAAGATCAAAGTAAATGATGACGTTTGAAAAAATATATTTCCTTTCGAATAATCTTAGCTAAAATGTACTTGTGCATTTATAGTGAAATGCTTGCTAAACGAATATGATCGAAATGTTATATAAAATTTCAATTATATCAGCAAATATTGAGAATAAACAATGAGATAAATTCTTTTATCATTTCATTTGGAATTTCATCTTTTCTCAAAAGAAAAATGATTCCATTATTAGAAATAATATTTATCTTGTGTACACTTTGTACATGTTGGTCTAAGAAACAAAGTGTACGAATATGTAGTGTTCTGAAAAATATAATGTACCTGTAGATTCTATTGCGGATTCTCTTTAAAAACATTGTATATAACTGCATTCCATTTATAATATTGGTCACTCTTTCGCGACAAAATAGATATTAAAAGAGAAATTAGAATAATAAAAACAAATTAAAATATCTTCAATCAAAAACTTGATACCTTTAAGTATATATCGAAAAATGAGCAACATTCGTTTATCTTTTATAATTCGTTTTACGGTCTTACATTTGTTTTTGTAGAATCTATCTTTTTCTATATTATTTTGAGCATAGGCATATCTGCAAATATTGACAAGTAATATGAACAATTGTCGAGAACAACAAATAGCTTTGTTATTTAAAAAGAAAGTAGTATAAAAAGAAGAAATATTATATTTTAGTCGTAGGTAATTGTACTAATTAACACTGCATAAAGCTACATTATACTATAGAGAAAAATAACTTCATAGTAGGAAGTAATTAACTAAGTAATCTATATAGAACTGGTTTTTTAAAGAAAAATGCTCAAGAATTCTTTACTATCGACGTTATTCATATAAACTAATTGAGAATGTTCTATTTAAACAGTGTCGTTGGAGAAACGAGTTTCATATATATATATTTATAAATTGTCAAGTTCATGTGTCATGGATTAAACATGATATCTTGTCACAAAAATATCAATAAATAAAAGTTAATTATATATATTCGAATTCTTTTCTAGCTACTTTTATGATTAATCGTAAAAATGTCGAAGTTGTGAATAGCGAAGAATATGTTTTATTATATGAAATAGTGTTAACATTGTAAGGGATGTGAGTGTACTAGTTACAGAGCCAGGTTTTTTTGTATATGCTAGATCTCAGCCTGAGAACATGGAACCCAGATAAAACTTATCGGGGATGATATTGGGCCCAAATGATGAGTGTTGGTCAAAAAACTTTTGTGATCGAAATTTCCGAAGAAAAATTCTTTTTTTCCGTGTCCCTCAAGATTTTTCTCTTGCTGTTAGTAATGTTCCATTTTTGGAATTCAATAGTAAGCTACATTAAATTTCATCTAAAAAAACTGCTGAACGGTTCCCTGTTTTTAGATGAGATCTAATGCAAATTACCATTGAATTCTAAGAAATGGAACACTGCTAACAGCAAAAGAAAAAACTTGAGGAAGGAAGGGAGCACAGAAAAAAAAAAATTGTTCTTCAGAGACTTCAATCGCAAAGTTTTTTGATAAACACTCATCATTTGGGTCCAATATCATCACCTATAAGTTTCATCTGGATCACATGCCCTGAAGCTGAGATCCAGCAGACATAAAAATCTTGCTTATGCTACTAGAATGTTATTCTGCGTCACCTGATATTTAAGAATATATTCATTAGCTTGTATCTAATTAACAATAATCTCCTCAATATAATAGTAATTTTAATTTTCGCATCGTATAATAGCACTATGAGAGAATAGACGATAGAGCTTCAATATTTGTCTAATTTTTTTTTCCTTCGATTGATCGTATAAATTAGCATCCATATTCGTGGAGAGAATGCACATATTGAAACATACAAATTTCAAACAAATTCTTTTCTAGACAATTTTTCAAAACATAGAGCTTAGCAAATTTATTGAAAACATTCGAAAAATTTTTCTATTAATATTAGCAAGATCATACAATCCTAATCATATCATTACTTTTATTACAATGAGCGAGTGCTATTTTATTTATCAATACCAAAAAATTGGAAGATAACTATTGTTTTAATTTTCAAAACAGAAATGTTCATTGTGACTGAAAATATGTCGCCTCGATTCTATTAAAAAAATCGACTCTAACTGCTATGACTATGTTAAACTAGAACTGTTATTACTAATCCATCTCATTCATTCCTTATTAAAGTATTTAATTTGTATATATTGAGATTCTGTGTAAATTCACCCAATATTTAAATGTCTTCCCGGAGCTTCGACTATTGTGAATATATTGTTGAAAAATCTACCACTCAGTGATAAACATTTCTGCTTTAAAATTTTAATCCCTCAGGTCAAAAAATAAGGTCTGTATACGAACATTTTTAGTGAAAATACGATATCTGTTTTGATCAATCTGGACATGACCTAGTTTTGAGTCCACTTTATTTGAATGAAAAACATACTGTTTCTACTAATTGAATTAGCATTGAACACTTTGAATAGATATTCTGCCAGCAAAATCTAACAGATCTGGTATTGAGTTGATCACAGGAATAGATCATGTGGATGTTTAATATCACATTCATACGGTTAAATTCAAGTTGAGTGATATCAATTTGAAGCAAAGGTATTTTTAATGAAACCTTTGCTTTTTGAATGTAAGATATGGTTTTCAAAAGATACAATGAAACATCTTTGTTGCTCGATATTGAGAAATACTTTTTTTTTATCATTTTAGTTCGGTAGGATTAACACTAGGTTTAGCTTGTAATCGTATCATTTATTATTCATTTATTTATTAACTTTATCTGTATGATAATGTTCCTGTTCACATATTTAAAGATTTTATTTTTATTTTAGCAATGGTTTTGGGTAATCTTTGTTGTTTCACTGATTAAAATTTATATTTTGGTAAATAGCTAGTCTTTTAACTAGTTCATCTAGTTTATTTAAACGGTTATTCATAAAAAAACAAGATGTTTTCTGAATTTTAAGATTATCCAGTTCTCAAGTTTTAATAAAGAAAAAAAAATATCTTTGATCACCATTTTTTCGAGCTTTGGTTTTTCATTTTCTCTTATCGAATGCGTCAATGCAGCACATAATGTGACGGGTTGGGATGTGGAAGACTTAGTGATTTTAAAAAGACTGTCCCAAATTGCACGATTTTCGTGAATTGTATGTCAAAAGCGTAAAAAAAAATGGCATTTCGTACGATAAAACGGACATAAAAATTGAAATTTTTCAAAATTATTGGTGAAAAAAGCTGTGTTAATTAAGCAAATACAGTAAATTTTATATTTACCCCAAAATCATGCGGTGAAATCGATAAAAAACGAGTTTGAAAAAAATTTTTTTTTTCTGCCTGTTTCACCCAAAGAAGAACAGCGGACTTCATAGGAATCATCCACAACCGAAGCTTCAGTTGTTTTTCCCTTGGTTCCACCATTTTAATACCATTTTTTAATTATTTTTTTAGGTCACTGGAAAAGATGTGAGTGAGAGTCTGAGTGTGGAGGTAGGTTGAGGCTGCAACTGAAAGTGCTGGTTAAAAAATGATCGCAAGCCTACAAGCTTTGTGGAAAATAATGAAGCTAAATTAATGCTGGCAGTATTTGGTAATCAAAAAAAATTCTTAGCCATTAATAAATGCGTAGTTAATATCCATAAAGACATGCCTAGAGAGACTTGTTGTTAAGTATCTGTATTGATCTCAACAAAAAAGATTTTACTTGTTCAGCAGAGTAACCAAAAACAACATTCATAAGAAAAAAATGCTAGAGAATGCGTCCTTGACCGTTCATACTTAAAATATTGAAAAATTTATGCCAATTTTCTACGCATTCTCAGTCATTACTGTAATAAAAAAATGGCAAAAATTCGACTCAAAGTCTTCTGGAACCATTTGTGTCTTGTGATCCTCAATAAATAGATCATAATTTGTTTCTTCTCTCTGGCATTGCATTCATTATTTTGATGTCATTTATTGAACTCAGAACTCTCTATTTGAAAAAGTAATATGTAATTCAGAAGTCTTATTTACCATTTCTAATTAAAAGTAAAAATACGGTATAAATAGTAGACTAGAAAAACTTTTATTGCAAGCATTGCTTATCATCTAAATTTTTATTTTAATCGCTTGTATACTATTTATATACACAAAAATGAAAAAACATAAAATCTTAATTATTCAAAAATAAAAATAAATAAATAATTTATTTTTCAACAAAATATTTCCTAAAAAGTGACTTTTGAAGTCATGTAGCTAAAGCCACCGATACATTAGAAGACCCCCTTTGAGCAAACAACAGAAAAGACAGTTTAGAAGAGTTCCCTCTGAAAATTGATTTTTAAAAATAATTTTGTGGAATTAATTGAGATTTTTTAACTTTAATGCACATATCAATATCTAATTTCAGCATGAACAATATTTTGTTGCCGTTGTCTTAGCAATGCGTCAATTCTAACTTGTACACTCCATGAGACAAAACTAATAAGAAAGAACAGTTAATTAGAAAATGCGTTTCTTTACTAAAGAAAGTGCGTTGGAATCATTTTACTGCTCATTTGGATTATGTTCTAAAGAAACTTTTTAGGTTTTCTATTGGAAAAATTCGTTCCTACCTTTATAGGACCTAATTAACATGATATGCATACAAACATGCCACACACGAAGAGATGTTTCTGAAATGAGAACGTATTGAGTAACATGTCGTTGTACATTACTTAAAACGATGTTCTACCTATAGACTTTCTTCTAGAAATTCGGACAAGTTCTTATCATAGAAGAGCTCATTGATAATTGAAAAGAACATATCTCCGAAGATATGCATTGAGTCGTGTTCTATGAAATACAGCTTCTATACATGAGAGCGGATTTCTTATCGTAAAAACACTCAATCTGTATTCAACAGTTTTTAATATATAAACTGTTTCTTAGCGGACAATCACATTCATTCAAATCAACTATAAACTAGTAATAACTTAGATCGTGATATATTTCACTGTAAACGCATTCCATCTATACTAGTCAAATATCAACATAAGCAAGAAAAATACCGCTATTATAAATCGTGCCAAGGTTATACGATATGTTGTTTGTAGGGATCCAAGAACAATCTCCTTACCAAAAAATGTCTTTTTTTGCACTGAAAATATCATCTGTTCCTTTTTTATTATACGAGCGTCGGTTAAATAAAATAAACTCATTTATCAACGATGAGTTAGGCAAAAAAGCATAAAATTGAGAAACTGTCGTTGAGACTATTATAAATTATGACTTTTTTAAGCGACATAATAGAAGATTCCGGGTCTTCTAATGCGTCCATGGCTTTATTAATTCAAGATAGGTCGCAAAGGTATTGTTTTATATTTCCTATCCTTTTATTTATGCCCTCAATAATTTTTTTTCTTTCCTTCAGCTTACCTTATGGTTGTCTTTATTTTAAGGTGCACGCAATTCAAGCTTCAAGTAAATTTTTTTTTTACTTTTTTACATTATCTGATATAACTTGAACTGCTGATCATGAAAATCTACTTTTTAGCCTTAGTGAATGCTTCCTTCCGGTAGAAAAATACGAAATACTCGAAGGGTATCGTTTTCTTCAGAAAACACATCTTTGCCAAAATGTGCGAAATTTGCTACTTCGTTCTTTTTTTCAGATTCAACATCAAAAACTGAGTACAGACAAGTTGTTAAATCGACACTAGACCGAAAACTCTATTGGTGGTGGCGCTTCGAATTGTGTCGACTATAATGCGTATAGGTCGATTTTGCAAACCTATCTAGTTTTTCTACGTAAGTGATGGAGTCAATTATTTTATCTCATTACATTCATCATACCACTTGTCATCAAACTACATATTCTTTTTTCCTTTTCTTTCCTTTGTCGAGAAAAGTCGTTTTTACTGGTATCATAGCCATTTCAGGTGGTATTCAACGGTTTTCGAATTCAAATAAGACTTTTAATCACAAACTAAGTACAGATTCTGAATCAACACAGAAACATCAGTCAAATAAAATGTCTTTCAAGCTAATTTGACAACTTTTATTTTTTCGGATATTGTCGGAGGACTGAAATTGTTGTATACGAGTCCAAAAATTAAAGTTGTCAAATTAACTTGAAAGATACTTTATTTGACTGATGTTTCTGTGTTGATTCAGAATCTGTATTTAGTTTGTGACTAAAAGTCTTATTTGAATTCGAAAACCGTTGAATACCACCTGAAATGGCTATGATACCAGTAAAAACGACTTTTCTCGACAAAGGAAAAAAAAGGATGTGTAGTTTGATGACAAGTGGTATGATGAATGTAATGAGATAGAATAATTGACTCCATCGCTTGCGTAGAAAAACTAGATAGGTTTGCAAAATCGATCTATATGTATTATAGTTGACACAATTCGAAGGGTCACCACCAATAGAGTTTTCGGTCTAGTGTCGATTTAACAATTTGTCTGTACTCAGTTTTTGATGTTGAATCTGAAAAAAAGAACGAAGTAGAAAATTTCGCAGATTTTGAAAAAGATGTGTTTTTTTTGAAGAAAACGACACCCTTCGAGTATTTCGTATTTTTCTACCGGAAGGAACCATTCACTAAGGCTAAAAAGTAGATTTTCATGATCAGCAGTTCAAGTTATATCAGATGATGTAAAAAAAGTCAAAAAAAAGATGTTTACTCCAATTTCGCGTTTTGAGTACCTTACCAAAAATGACTTACTCATCTCTGTCATTTATTTTAAAGAGTCACTAAGATACATTAACATTGATTGTTATGACAGCTATGTCAAATTAAATGGAACATACAATTTATCATTGTATAGCCCAGTATGGGTCTCTGTTGGTTTCTTTTTTTTGTTCTACATCTGTTATAAATTATTATAGTGTCTGTTATTGGGATGTGTTAATCACAAAATATAGACACCCTTATTTCTTTACAGTTATTATTTTTGACACTATACGGAAAATAGGAACTTCATGATATTGACAGATACAAGCTCATGCTTGAAGATAGTTTTCAATCAAAAAACAACGAAAAACAATGATTCATGTATTTGAGAAAACGAAAGAATGTAATTTGAACTAATTAATCTTTTTTCGCAATGTAGCCAGATACTTCTATTGAAATTATGGAGTGAAGAACAACGCATTCTATCTCTTGAAGCTCAATTCTTCAATTCCAGAAAAATCATTAGATAATATGAAGAGCGACAGAGAACGTGTTCTTGTTTTTCTAAGAATGATTTTGGATCGTCTACAATGGATTCATTAATTCAAGTATCTGTCCTCGAGCGATTCTCTAGAGGATATTAAAAAAAAAGTCATTTCATTTTGAAGAAATATGTTCTTTACTTTAACAACAAAAGAACGGAAAAAAAATCATTTTAATATTTAATAGAGTACTTCAGAATATTTTCTATTCAGATAGAGAACATTTTTTAACCGGGGAGAAAAACATTCTATAATTGTATGGAAAGGCAAAGAATGTGTTTCTTCAAATAGAAAATGCATTCTTGTCGATTATGAATGCGTTCGGCAAATTACAGAACGTTTTCTTCAAAAACAACATACTTTTTCATAATTTGACAAACACTGTTTCTTCAGTCGTTTTTTAATGAGCATTTTTAACTGGATATTCTTTAAAAATATATCATGAAAATGCAGTATCTCCGCAGTAATGAGCAAAAAACCCGAATTCTTTTCATAGTATTCACAGCTTATGAGAATCTACATAATGCGCATAGTCTCTATTCAAAATTGATTAACCCATTGGAGAACATCCTTTTGCTAAATCATTAATTGGTCTTATTTTCTCTAGAGAAAAAATGAAAAGTATTCAGCACTATATTGTTCTCATCTTACTTTTGAAAATTCATTTAGTCAGAAGTATTTGTAGTAATTTATAAGTTTTGCAAGTAATCTTCAATATTAATAAAAAAAAACAAGTCATTTTTTTTTTTACTTCTGAGAACGATGAAAGATGTTTGATTGCATGCAAATTTAATGGAAATAACTATAATCTAATAATTGTTTGTATATTTATAGAACAATAATCTTGAATAATAACATCATTATGTCGAATACACATATATCTTCATCATTTTTGGCAGCAACTGAAATTGTTACAATTCAAATGACATATTATGGACCAATTATTCTTTTAACTATTGGGATATTTGGTTGTTTATGTAATTTTTTAACATTTACATCACGACAATTACGTGAAAATTCTTGTGCATTTTACTTTCTTTGTTCAGCTATATTTGAATTTTTATCCATTACATTTGGACTTAGTACTCGTTTAGCTGCTGATCATTTCGGTTATAATTTACAAAATAGAAATCGAATGTTTTGTAAATTTCGTGCATATTATGTTTCCAGTATACCATTAATTGCCACTTATTTTATATTATTATCAGCTATTGATCGATACATGTCATCCTCAGCTGATGTTTATTTACGTTCATTTAGTAAAATAAAAGTAGCTTATCGTAATGTTATAATTTTTATTATTATTGGTTTAATATCTTGTTCTCATATTCTTATTTCATATGATCTTCGACCAAAATGTGCAACTTCACCTGGTATTTATGCTGTATTTGATAGTATGTTTGTTATATTATGGCTTGGACTTATTCCTCATATCTTAATGTTAACATTTGGTTTTCTTACTTTAACAAATATAAGACGAACGAGACAGCGAAGAATAGTTAAAGCACAAATTAAAAATATCAATATTAATCAAAATCAATATCGAAAAAATTATAAAACAGATAGACAATTGATTTTAGTAAGTAATTAGAAAACATATTTATATATGTAAACAAAGAATCGCATGTAGTGAATGCTGCAAAACAGTTTCGTATTTTTTTCTTATAAGCGAGATAGTATGATCAAAAACTGTTCTTTAAATCGATATAATTTGGTAAACTACTAATGATTTTGTCTAGATTGTATTTAAAAAAAAAAAGAAAAAACATCGATATCAATGGCAAGTTTTGTTCTGAATTTTTCTTTTGTTTTTTCAAATATTTTCTCGTCATTTTACGTGCTAGAAACTACAACATTATAGAATTGGATTTTTCATTTTTGACTTATCGATTGAAAAAAACCGAATGTTGTTCAGTTGTAACGACTGGTTTTAACTAAAATTTTACATAGAAACCGAAACATGTATTAATCGATTTGAAGAAAGAATTCTTAAAATATGAAAACGTTCCTTCTAACCTTTGAAACTTTAATAGATCTTGAACAACAGAAAATTTTTTCGGCTGAAGCTTTTAGAATGAGCTAGATTTTCAGAGAAATATATTCCCTAAAAGTTTCAGTAATCTTTTGTTCTTCGAAAAAAAATACATTTTTGAGTGAATAAGGATCTTAAGAATATCTATTAAGAATCTGCTGCATTGAAAGTTCTTTCTAACTGTACGTTTAAAAGAAAAATTCAATCACATCATACTTTTCATTGTAGAAAAAATCGGTAAACAACTCTAAAATGTATTATGTAAAAATAGCTTAAAATAGTTAACGAAAAATTTCTTGTATAACTTTATTGTATTCATTCAATTGGATAGAATTAATTTTTTTCTAAACCGAATTCTCATTAAATTCTTTGCATAAAAGGCACAAAAAACTATTGTATTGTTTCAGATAACGTTTTAAAACAGTTAATTGTAAAACTTCAGCTATTTTCTGATGACAATCGTCTGTTTTTTGCAGATTAGTTACATAAAGGCTTTGATATATTTATATCGGTGATATTCAGGATTTTACGTAGTTATTATTTTTTGTTTTCATGAAACTTCTATAGAAATATTAATATTATCATATCGAAATTTTATCCATATTTCTTGTATTTTTGATTTTGCTAATTTTTTCATTAAAGGATATTATATTTAGATGATGTTAGTTCAAATTGGTCTAAGTTCATTATTAAGTTTAACTCGAATGATTTATTATGCATATTATATTCATGGACCACTATTTACTGGTGATAATAAAGTGATAGGATCATTTTTAATGTCATTGACTACACTGCTCTATTATACTAATTATGTAAAATCATTTTATATTTATACATTAACAAGTCAGTTATTTCGATCAATTTTTATACAAAGAATAAAAGAATGTATTCAGAAAAGATTTGAATTAAATACGCCGATAATAATGATTGATTAAATTGTGCTAATTCCTAATAGAATATCTATTTAATATTAATAAATTGTTTTAATGTAAATATGAAAAAAACTTAAGTGTTTAGTTTGTATAAAGAAAAATAGCTGATTCCTTTTAACAATTTCGATATCCATTGTATAGTTCATTTAAATGAAATGATCAAAAAATCCAGCATATCACCGTAGTTTGATTTCGAATGATGACATCCTGGATAAAAACAGTTCCACATTCGAAATCAGCATACTCGATTACTTCTGTCCCCATCAAAATCTCGAAAGAATACCTCTGCATACAAGCAAAGAAATTTAGCCTAAAAAATATTAATAGAACAGAAAAAAGTGAAGCCATCTCGCACAGCATTCGAACCCATGTCGCATCACACGCGCTATATTAATCACTCGGCTATATGCAAAGTCCTTGTATTTTTTCTTCCTCTAATTTTATTCTTCACATTGTCTATTATAATGTTGTTCTAATGAGCATTCACAAATAATAATATAATGAAATACGATCAAATACACACTACTCACATATCAACATGAATCAATATTATTTCATTTATTTAAGAAACTTATATCTTGTTTAATCACGAGCAGTACAAAACTACAAAATAAAATAAAAATGACATTTGCCATAGTATTTTTTTTAAAGTCGTTAATATTATTAACAAAATGCTAGTTTTAAGGATAGAAGAAAATGACACGTTTATAGATCTATAAGGGTATGCGGAAAAAAACACATTACAAAAGAGTAGGAAGTACGAATGAACGTAACAACTACACCCACTCCAACACCTTCCATTATAGCTCTAATGAACGTATTTGCAATATTCAGAGACAATGATATTCGTCAAATAGTAGCATGTGCTTTTGGATATGTGTCTAATGAGCAAACAGATAAAATTTTGTTTGAAAATATTATATTGGTATTGAACAGCGTGTGTAATGAGACTTTTCCTTATTCTAATAATGTTTTGAGTGCACTAATTTTAAGTTATTGCTATTATGCATATATATAAAACGATATTGCTTTTGATCAAGATGATTTGAATTTATTTTTCACTTGGTTACAAATTGATACACAGAAAATTTTGAAAGCTGTTCTTACAGGATTTGCTCGCATTATTCAAGATACATCATTTCTATTTGAAATGTTTACTTTTGATTATTTGCAGTGTTATTATGCATTGATCGGATCAATAGCATCTTGACACATTTACGATGTTTAGAGAAAAAGTAAAAATGCTGTCGTAAAGTTTATGGAAGAACATCCAACTTTTTTGACAGCTTTTATGGTCGAATTATACAATCAGATTCGTAATTTTACTGCTAAAATATTATTGATGGTAGATAGAGGTTTTGATTTAGCTTTCGAATATCTTCAATATGTAAATGTCGCTAGTTTTATCGCTATACATATGCCAACAGCATTTTGTGCTTTTTTCAAAGATTGGAGGAATTGAGATAATGTAAAACGTGCATTATTTTCAAAATAATTTTCCACAACGTGCTGTTTGTTTAACAATTCTATTTTTGTCGGAATGGTTAACACTCGACTTAAGTGGCATGTTCATTGAAATTGTACATGATGATTCAACTGTTCAAAACAACGATTTTAAATGTATAACACACATTCATAAAATTACAGATGAAAAAGTTATTTTAAATCTTTTGTTATCTTATTTGAAATCAGAATCAATGAATGTTCGATATATTACATCTAAAACACTTCTTCATCTTTCTTCATTATCTCTTATTTCATGTCAGCAATTTCAAATTATATTCAATGATCTTATGGATAAAGACAATAACAAATTATTGGTTTTCTTAAAATAATAATTTTTACGCAAGATTTATTTTACCTTGAATATATATTTGATGAAGTAAAAGACAGAAAAATATCTTTATTGCTGAACATTTTTTTTTCTCCTTCTACAATGAAAATAAATATTAATTTTAGTCCTAAAAAGGATTTTGTGGATTTTATACTAAATAAAATATCGATCAGAATATTGTCGAACGACGGTGAATCCGCGTAAGATAAACAATATTTTGATGTAAATCTATGTGATAATAATAAAGATATACGAAAGTCGAACATTCGGAATCGGGTTCGGTTTTAATTGTGTTCATTTTCAGTTAATTAATAGAAAAATTTCAGGTTTGGCTATAGATAGATCTACACATAGTGAAATGAATATGTCCAAACCGAAAGTCTGCAGGCATTTTTAAAAAAGTCAACAACATTCAGAAATATTCAAACCGAAACTTAAACACGCCTTAGAATGCTTCTAGCTTCGTCCATAGATGTCAAAAAATACGAGGTTTATTGTCCCAATATCCAACATTCTCTGAACTTCTTGAAATGTTTCCAAATCGAAATACATACCCAAACTATTCGTCTCCAACACCGAG